CGCTCGGCCAAGAAAGTGTCTTAACCTAACCTAACCCTAAAATGTATACTTATCTCTCTCTTTCTTGTAATTCAACGCGACAAGTTCATTGGACAACTGCTCATTTTGAAATAATAATAATGGATTTCAAAGAAATTGTTCAAGCTACAACTCTTAATTTGTAAAAACAAAATTTCGATTTTGCCGTTTTAACCTTTATTGAACACAAACAAACAAACAAAATGTCAGATGATTAGACAAATCATGTATTCAAAGAATATATTCAGAAAAGCTGAATTTTTCAGGATGGAGACTATGAGGGGGTAGAAGAACTTATAAAAGAATGTCTGAAAAACGGAATTTTCAGAGATTATATCAGGCAATTACTTTTTAACATTTAATTCTTTTTATACAAAGGTCGCAGAACACATAAAATAATTAATGATACTGACGGCAAATTATTATTACTGAGTTTTTGATTTAAGATTTAAGTCAAAGGCTTCTAAACTGACCAATTTACTGTCAATGTCCTATCTGTGTAATCTGAGGCCAAGGCATAAAAAAAAAATCTTTTTAAAAACATAATATAAGCTCAAGTGTACATAGGTACTAATTAAACCTCTATCTGAGAAATATTGTGGTTTTACAGTTTTCATCTACACAAAATAAGGTTATCTCATTCATCCTTAATCATAGAAATGTTAACTTGGTACCGTTGTGAATCGGATGTGCACCTTGAAAGTACATATCCAGTCCCTTTCAAAGATTGTTTAAGGGAGACTTTTTAATGATAGATTTTTTTAGTCGTCAACAGCCAAAACCTATCTGGAATCCTTTAATAAACCCTGATGATACAATCCTAGAGGTAAACATACCTATTCTTTTTTGAGCAAAGATTTAAAAAGCGGTTTTATATCAAATTCTCGAGACAGGGACATCAAATAGAACTAATATTGGTCGTGATCAACTCCTAAAATTTTAAGTCTTCAGTCTATTCCCCCTTTAATTTTACCTTAACAGTCCCTTTAAGCGTCTATTTACACCCAAATAAAGTTTAGGATATAGTTATCCTGCAGTGCCCCTGTCTACTGTTTAGGATATAGTTGGACCAGGAAGTGCTCCTGTAGTGCCCCTATCTGACTCTGAAAGTTTAGTATCTGATGAAGAAAGGCCTCCACCACCAAGTTTGCTGCTAACGTAAGTTTAAAGAGACTATTCATGTTTTTCTCATAGAAAATGGGTTATTTTTTAATTGTGGTTTCAGGGAAAAATTTATTTGCAGAACAATGAGAAATTTGTCAGAGAAAAAACAATTCAAGATATTTTGTGATCAATTTTTAATATTATTAACTTTTTCAGGGAACCACCTCCAAGAGGAGGTCACCAGCTGGTAATGGATAGTACTGCTCAATCTATTTATCTATTCGGAGGCTGGGATGGAAATCAAGATCTTGCGGATTTTTGGTCTTATCATGTTCCCTCTAACAGGTGATTTTAGTGGTCAGAATAGAAATCAAGATTTAGCGGATTTTATGTCTCATTATGTACTATCTAACGGTAATTTCGGAGACTCCCATTTAACCAATGGGGTCGAGTAAAATTCCATTTTAAAAGGAACTATAAGTATAATTACATATGACCCTGTATGCAACGATTGCAATGCCCGATTCACAATGGTACCCTCTACAGCTTTGTCTGATCAAGTATGGATTAGTTATCAATTTTTATGATTTTAAAAACTGATCATTTCAAATGTGGTTTCTCTACAAAAATGACTTGTAGGAAAACAAGTTAACAATCTTTTGATCAGAACAGGTTTCCAGGGTAACATTATGATTCAGGGCTTGTCATCTTTGCATGAAGGGTCACTTAAAATTACGTTTCCAGTAACTCTATTTTTTTACATTTTTTTAATTTTTAATTTTTAGTTTTTAACAATATGTATGAATTAAACCCAGTCACAGTTCTTGTTGTTCTTCATTTTCTGCACTAGGCTCTTGTTTTCCAATGTTTTTTCCTGTGCTTCAATTTTACATCATGTTCTTGGTAAATTTTAAAAGAGAAGTTTTTTGGACGTCCTGACGTCAATTCTAGAATTTTGTTGGAAACTCTGTTCTTACCACTGTTTTTTTTGTTTTTTTTGAAGACTAGGTAATAGGCATGTCTTGGTTTTATATTTTGGTTTCTGTATTGCATTTACCAGGAATCCTGACTCAGTACAGCTGATCAGACTGTTTTAATCACAAGGATGGGGTTGAAAGGGACCGCGCTGGAGTAGGTTTCTGCATTTGTATTCTAAGCTAAATCTCAAATCTAGGCCTGCAGCATGTATTTTGTTCTTTTATCCAGTAACTCTAAATTACAAGTAATTCTATAGATTTGAGAAGAAGTGTAATAAAAGTATAATTTTTAGGTGGAACTTACTTTTCCCTGATACAGAGTCTGAGGCTGGGCCTCCTCCTAGGTACCTTTTATCTTTCTTCTACAGGGGATTGGGTCCAACATTTGATAAGGAGACTTGAATTCTTGAATGTCATCTTTGAGTTTTGAAAAAAATTGCGACATTTTTTTGTCAACACAATTTTTCAAGCATGATCCTTGAAACAATAACCGTTGGATAGTTCTAGATTATCTTATCACATCTTTACTAAAGAATTTCGTTCGGATTTCCATTTATTTAATGAAGCGCTTAAATTGTCCTAAATTCCAAATTTGTTTGCTAATTTAATGTTATAATATCTTATCTTATTGTTAGATCTTGTCACAAGACGATGTGGACCCTGCCTACCTTTATGTTATATTATTCTACTTATTGTTAGATCTTGCCACAAGACGATGTGGACCCTGCCTACCTATATGTTATATTATTCTATCTTATTGTTAGATCTTGTCACAAGATGGTGCTGGACCCTGCCTACCTTTATGTCATATTATTCTATCTAATTGTTAGATCTTGTCACAAGATGGTGCTGGACCCTGCCTACCTTTATGTTATATTATTCTATCTAATTGTTAGATCTTGTCACAAGATGGTGCTGGACCCTGCCTACCTTTATGTTATATTATTCTATCTAGTTGTTAGATCTTGCCACAAGATGGTGCTGGACCCTGCCTACCTTTATGTTATATTATTCTATCTAATTGTTAGATCTTGTCACAAGATGGTGCTGGACCCCGCCTACCTTTATGTTATATTATTCTATCTTATTGTTAGATCTTGCCACAAGATGGTGCTGGACCCCGCCTACCGTCAAATATTTGTTCTTGGCAGATATATTGAGAGAACTATGAGGTAAAAATAGTAAAAAATTAAATGCTGCGCCTCTGGACACTGGACTGGATTTTACTAGTAATGATCGCATGATTTTAGGGTGAGTCTGTCGGCGATTAAATCTGATTTCTACCTGTTTGATTTGGTTTCCGGTCGATGGACGCAGATTACAGATGACACCGCAGCAATGGGCGGACCTAACCTTATATTCGATCATCAGGTTAGTACTCATATTGTACAGAGAGACCCACAAAATTGTGGAATTGAAAGGCGACATTTAAGCAATCTTGTTTATGGCATTGTTATAAAGCAAATAGTTTTACCAGTAGCTTCAAAATCAGCTTAGTAAATGAAATTTATTTACATGCATGGATTAACTTTTATTTTTGTATCCAATGAACGCCAAAACGACTGAACCGACCAGGTCCAATTTGATAACAAGATTTGACATCCATCTAATTAAAACAGTAAAATTCGCGTAATTCACAGTTTAAAATCCACGACTTTAAATTGCAAAAATATAAGATACTAGCTGAAGAGCCCGGCGTTGTTTGTGGGGAAAAAAACTATTTAAAAAAAAAGATTTTTAAAGAAAAACAACCATTTTTTTTAGCCTATAACACCCCCCGCCACCCATGAGTGTCCACAAAAAATCTCAGTCCATTCGGTCCAGCTGTTTGGTCGGCTATAGGCAACATATATATGAATGTCTTGTTTTATTTTATAGATAAAGTTTATTTGCTTAACGTACATTGTAAGTAACAAAAATAATCATCTTCAACTTGTTCCAGATGTGCCTAGATAATGAGCACCGAAACATCTACGTTTTCGGCGGCCAATCCCTCCATTACAATAATACAGGGGAGGACAGATCAGGTGTCACATTTAAGAATTTAAAATAGATAATTTAAATTGAGTTTTTTTAGTTTTTATATTTTTATCATTATCGTTTAACACTTCAATATAGATTAAATATTTCTTTTTCTTCGGTCTTTTTTATCTTTTCTTCAATTTTTAAAAACCATTAATTTATTTTTGTTCTAGATAAAAGATTTTCTGGTCTATATGTTTATCATATAAACACAAACACCTGGAAACTACTCTGGGAAGATGGCCAGATACCCGCCAAAGGTCAGGTTTAAAAAAATATTAAATATGTTTTTATTTTCTGCCTTTATTTAAGCAAAAGTAAGTTCGGGAACGTCGATCTTCTATCTGGAAAACTTCTGAAACCACAATTGGAAATTTTCAATTTTTAGATCGAAACAATTAGATATCATAATCAAGTTTTGCTAAGTATTGTTTCCATGGTTTCAACGGAAGGTCGACAATAAGGTTAATTTAAAGCATGTGCTAATATTTGTACATTGTAGGTCCCCCAATTATCTCAAGAACTGGACACTCCATGCTCTTTAATTCAGGAAAATTCAGTTCTTCAACTTCATATTTAAGGGAGTGTTCGTAAAATTTAATTGGGTATAGGCAAAGCCAGAATGAATTCAAAAATCGACAATTATTTTTCCTATAATTTCTGAATTCATCGTCGAAAAATGCCACCAATTATTTTAGAAACGGAAATAATAACTTTCCACTTCCTTTCATTTCCTTTTCCATTTTTTTTGAAGGGGGGGGG